GGCATTGAGTCAACATGATTAGACTGAAGTCAGCACACCCCTAATGTATGGTGGCCATCATAATCCTTCACAACACGAACGAGATGAGAAATAAAAGGCTTGTTGTAGGTAGTAATCATGTTTCGCGTGACAAGGCTAAAGAGGTAAAATAGGATTTGGCAAAGTCCATCGGTTCAGAGGGGTGCTTTCACCCCGGACTCCTTTTAGAAAACGCTTCTGAGGACCTACCTCCTCAGACTATCGAATATATCCTCGTATGTACAAGTAACTAAAATGTCCACGGGTTGAAAATTATTCCCCAAATAAAAACGAGCATATTTGGACTAAATGTGATCTTCCAATTTTGTCCTTCTTTGCAAATTGTGATCAAACCTAGAGGGCGTTTAATCGTTGGAGTTCCAGTTTGTGAATTTTCTCCAGCATTCTCAAATTCTCCTTGTATTCTGCCAGCCCGTCTCTTGTCCTTGATGAACGTCGATTTGTTGATTCATCACTCATCCCGACACACTCTCGCCTGTCGCCGAGCGGGATTATACGAGACGGGGAATGCTTTTCGCCGATGAAATGTGGTTTTCGTTCAGTATCTAGCTCAAACATTAAGGCCTGACAAAATATGGACAGATATATAAGATATATTCACCTACGTTTGAGCATTTGATCTGAGGATGGGTGTTTCAAAGATCTCTGGGCCGCAGTTCAGCGTTGTGACAATGGATAAAATATAGCGGAAAGAACTGAAATAATGGAAGTATCTTGGCGTGGTGGGACCACAGTTCGTTTATGATCGTCGTAGACCCCTGCACCCTCCATTTAGGCTGGATTTCGCCATTTTCCATACCAACCACAGCGTATTTTCCAAAAACGGTGAGACTATACAACCAATCAAGAGTTGCATCTCCAAATTTGTCATGATTAGAAAGCGAAAATTCAGATGCAAGTCATTAGAGAACTATTCGAAATGGGGTTTGAGCTTAAGCTCCCCTGCTCGAGCTACATGTACCCATCTACAGTTCCATCTCACAAGGGAGCCTTAAGGACTGTTTACAGAGGTCAGTGAATTTTCTTATCAAATACGTGATTGACGGAGTCCAGTGTCAGGAGACGTGAATCTCAAATTCAAAATACCTGTCGTACTCTGTCGGCCTTTTTCCCTTATGTGCCGACCTATGTACAATTAGCGGTCAAAGTTTCATCAAATCCTGCGTTTGTTCGACTTGATCTTTCATTTTAAATCGACGGTAGCCTCCACGATTAGAGTTCAAACTCAGTTGTAATTTATTGTGTTATTTACCAGTACTGTGTGTAAAATTTCGTGTCTTGCGTCCAGGAAGCCGCTCAAATCTTCTGACTGGCTGCTTGGGTAGCTAATGGTAGTAAAGCTTTCTTATTGGGTGACTACTCCTACTTCGTTAAGTAATGATCATTTAACGTAAGATTAAAACAGATCACATGATCGGAGTCACCCATGACCTCCAGCAGTGGAAATAGATTTCTCACATTCATTCATTGCCGCATACCTGCGTCTATCCCATTCTTCTACTTTTCACTTTATACAACTAACCCTACAAATGGCTTGCAAACTCTTTTGTTGTCTGCCATATGTTGCATTGAAGGTGTGCTTGCTCTTTGAACCTTTTTCGGTGCTGAGTTAGGGGGGTTTTGAGTTGGGAGAAGATGCAAGTTAAAGTGCCTATTACTTAAATAATCATTGAATTAAACACTGAAATGATGAGCTTGATCCGACTTCCCCTTTTCGAGGTCAGAATTCTGCTCATTTTGGGAGATTTATCAAGATTCAACGAAATAAACCATTCTTTTATCCTAGTTTCAAGATCTAGTAGGAGTAATATATCTTCAACTCCCCTTGTTTATATTCCAGGCATGTTTCAAGTTGAGATTAGGCTTAGAAGTTCGAACAGAGGACATCCGATTTGTCAGACGATCGTCGAGAGTTTAATCCGACCTCTACCGAGAACTCAAATAGGACGTGAGGAGGCTCGAGTGAAAGACGTAAAGGTTAAGTGCATATTTAGAAATTTCTCCTGACTATGTAGGGTATGGAGGAAGCAATATGTTTGAATCTTGCACTTCACATGGTAGTAGTTGGAAAGGCATCTTATGGGTGAAAAGATTGGGCTCAAGACAATTGTTGCTGTAGGAGGGAATCATCTTGATTTCAAACTAATCAAAGTAAGTTGAATATCACAGAGTGGCACGAGTTGGCTTACTGTACCTCGAGGAGATGGGAAATCTGGAGCCTTCTTTCCCGAATATCAAAATTCATACTTTTTGTCTTTTTGGCATTTGCGTGCCTCAAACAACTTGGTAATCTAACATTCAACTCCATTTCCGTGCTCCAGAAAGCTAGTTTCAAAGGATTTTCCAAATGGACAGTTATACAATGCTTTGAAGCCTTGCAAGGGCCCTCTTGGGCTTCCTCCATCCGAATTTTATGCCTCGCTGGTGGATCATTCATCACAGGTATTTTGTTAAGGCTTTTTGGGCCCTCTGTAATACGGCATAAGCGGCTTGTCAACCAAGGCTGACTGTGAAAGTTGCTTTCAAGTCTGCAAAATCTCTCAACGGTTTCTGAAATATAAATTCTGATTGAAAGCCCATCAATGACTTCTCGTGATCTTGCACTTACAACCATAGGAAGACTACCATTCAATGGCGCTGACCGTCGTTCAATCGAGATCCCGATCCTAGTTCCATCAACCCATCTATTACTCAAAGTTATTGGCGTTTGATCAAGCAGCGGCGCCAATGCTGGTGCTCGTATAATGGTGACAGCCTCCCATGCAATTTCTGACTGCAGCCTTGCTCTTTTATTAATGCACTCTGCGCGAAGAAGATACGAAATTTTGAGGTCTTCATGATCGACGGTAACAGGAAGCGTTGCATGAACGGGTATTTCAAAATCGATGCCGTATGTTCCAGGCTCCAGATATGCTTCCTGTTTTGTCTCGAATTTGGGCCATACGTGTGACCGGTATAGAAGAGATTTGAAATTTGCAAGTCTTGCTTGGTTGTCTGAAGAAGTCCAGTCATCGTGAAATCTGAATTTCGTGAATCTGCAGTCATTTACACCGCCTTCGTCGTCGAGCCTTCTTTTTTCTGCATCGTTCGGCCATTTGAAGTCCCAGGTCTTTCTTATTATCGAAGTTTTCGAGATATCTGTGATATTTAGTAATGAGATATATTTCTCGCTTTTGAAGACACACTTTGCGATCGCCCAAACTTGGATTTCCCTTCAAAGTTTAAAGAAACAAGAGGCATAGGAACCCTTTGGTGAGTCTTCAAAGCCAGCTGGCCGCGTAAGACAATAGGCTTTTCCTCATCAATTTCAATGAAAATGACAGAGTTCATCCAACGGAACGAGATTGAGTATGGGGCCTCAGAACATTCAAATCCCCTTTCTTTATTTTTTAGTCGTGCCATATGGAACATGTCTGTGATAGAACAAGTTTTCGTGCCGAGATCTTCGGTTGGATAGCTCAAAGAAAAAATTGATATGCGGACATTTCAGCTGTATGGAAACGCATCAATAAGAATACTTTCTGTATCAGACACAGATTTTATTCATTTTATATTTTAAGGTAAAAAGTGGGCTACGTCATTAGCTTAGAATGACATAGCAGCCTCTCAGTGGCTGGCTATCATTCTTTGAGCAATATCTTGATAAATTTCGAAAACTTGATTTGTGATGAAGTATCCCATGAGAATGTTCTACATCGTAAAATTCGAACCAAATGTAGCGGGTGACAATTGCATGGGTCGGTTATGCTCTATCCGTGGGGCGCGCCACATGGAAACCGCCGTGGAACAGCTCTTAGATAAACTGCCTCAAGGAAATGAGCCAATAGCTATGTGAAGGGGTTATGTAGGATAGAGGCAAAAAATCATGAGTCGATCTGTCGGTGGCGATGATTTGCTGATTAGTATAGCCGGATCGAGAGGACAATGTAAGTTTTTCTCGGCCATGGTAAGCGGACTTTGTCTTTCCAATATATTGATTGAGCTCAAAAGCTTCCATTGATAAAATCTGATTGATCCTTAGCATCCAGAAACAACACGAATTTTTGTCGTCTCAAAAAAGTAGAAACATCATAATTATTGCTAATCGATGTGAAATGTGTTCGAAGTGGTAGAGGGGCAAGACTCACTATTGGGACTTGACCCCGGGAAGCCGCTTAGTATGTGATGGCACAAAATTCTATTAGTGCCCATCGCTATGTAAAGGAGGACGTGGCAGCAAAAGCGGTATCTCATTTGTCTGATGACTGGAGTAATATATAATAATAAATGGTAGATGTCGAGGTAGAGAAAATTAAACCCCCTCCCAGGAGTTTTCTATATATCATGGCACGACGAATTTCCCCTGAATATTTTCCTTGAATCAATAGATTGATGTGGGGAGACTTGGAAAACAAAGTCGTAGTGTCGAAGGGGAAGGGGTTTACTATTTCCAAATCTTATTGTACGATTTTGGATCTCTGTGCCAATCTGGATAATTAGACATCCAGTTCCAACCGTGAGTTTTGCAATTTCGCCTAACGTGTCTTTGACATCCCTACTTATATAATTACTCTATAGCTGCTGATGGACCGATAAGAGGGACATCCGAATCATTTCAGTCAGTCGTCCCTCAGAGCCATGCTTCCGGATTCTACAAGTGACTGGTGACGGTAGAGCAAAATCCGCTATGTCTTCCTTAACGAAATCCAAGAGTTGGATGTAGTTTGCAGGACTGCATTCATTTTGTGTAGAATAGAAGATTAGAAACAATGACTATGCAAACTAAATAATTATCAATTTCCCGTTAACCAGGTGGTCATTGTTTTTGTTGCTTCTCATTGACCAGACAAGCTCCGAACCCAACTTTCCATTAATCGTATTGATCTCAGAAAGCAAATTATTCAAGTATGCCCTTTTCGGACTTAGTAGCAGATACTCATTTTGTCGTGTAGAATGAATATGTGTATCAGCCCTACCGAGGTCTACGCAGCCTGGATCGCTGCTTCTGTGCGCTGCCGCAACTTATAACCGAGATCCTTGTTGACACGCCCGAAGAGGGCTAGGCTGGGTGTTAGCCTCATTTTCTTAGTAGACGGATTCGCCGAAACTGCTCGGCTATGGCTACAGGGAAAACTTACTGTAGACAGCCTTACGCAATTCAGGGTATTTTACACCTTTGATATTGCCGACGAGGTTCTCAATGACTCTATCCTGGTGACCAGGCTGGCGGCCAATAACCTCCCACAATGCCGCGGGCTGGAAGAAGTCATCGTCGGTGATCTCGCTGGTGTAGGCGGAGACCTCTCCCGCCCACTTTTCGTGCTCGGTGTGTAAGGCTAAGGCAGAAGCACTAATTCCCTTCTCGTCTTGGTAGAACTTGGTAGGTTTGATCGAGGAGCCAACGTAGTTAGGGTCGCCACCGTAGTTACCGTCAAATCGCATGGCTCCGTCACGCTGGAAGGGGCAATAGACTTGCACCTTCGCGGCGTTGGTAGGGAGTTGCTGGTAGTTGACACCGAGGCGATAGCGCGCTGCATCAGGGTACGCGAAAAGTCGTGCTTGCAGCACTTGGGGATAGTTAGTCATGGCGTGTCCTAAATAAGGCTAACAATTATCCGACTTTATTGTCTTACCTGGATCAGCGGACGCAGCGATCCCCGGGACCATTGTTGATGGCGAGAACGCAGCTTGCTCGATATCGGCGAAGTAATTTTGCGGCTGTTCCATCTAAGCGACTGCAATACAAGATTAGAGAGCCAGGGAGACTTACGTTGCGGTTCATGGTAAGACGGCCAATCTGCTGCAGAGGGAAATCCTTCTGCGGCCAAACCTTGGTCATGTCGAAGATGTTCCACTTGTAATCCTCAGCCTCCTCGGGGCTCATAAGTTGGACATAGACGATCCAGACAGGATAGTCGCTTCTATCGATAGCCTCAAACATGTCCCGAATCATGAAGTCAGGATCTTCCCCGGCGATCCTGGTAGCCTCTTGAGCAGAGAAGTTCTCAATCCCTTGCTGCGTTTTGACGTGAATTTTGGCGTATTTGAACGAGCCGTCCTAAGTACGACATTTAGTAAAAAAAAAGTTAACATCTGCCGTGGTCGTCACCTACAGGCTTAGTGAATTTGTAGGTGTGTCCACTGTATGAGTTCATGTAGCGGACCGACTTTGGAGTGCCGCGGTCACTAAATAGAACCAGAAGTTGATGAATACCCTCAGGATTACCGACGTGGAAACTATAGGATTAGTCTGATTTTCAACAATTGGAGTTTTGATGATTCTACATACTCCCAGAACTGCCATGATTATTAGCTTTTTAATTCCACATCGCCGATAAACGACAGGGCAGACTTACCATGTTTGCGTCGGGAAGATGGGTTTGAGGGTGTCGCTTGTGAGAACGGTTCATAGAAGGGAATTTGATAGGATCGCGAATGAAAAAGACAGGCTAAATCGACGAATATCAGACACAAACAGTTCCTAAAAAGAAAACAAAAGAAACAGAGGCATAAATAATGCACAGCATACCGTGTTGTTAAAAACGAAATCTTGGTTGCCCTCGTCGGTGTAGAACTTCATCGCCCATCCATGCACATCCCGGGAAGTATCAGCAGAGCCAGACTCGGGCCCAACCGTTGAAACGCGCTGAAGCACGGGCGTCTTCTTTCCGGCCTTATTGAGGAAGCTGGCGCTGGTGAAGTCGGAGCAATCCCGGGTGGCTTCAAATTCTCCATAGGATCTACAACTGTCAACCAGGCGATTCCTCCGGCGAGCGTTCATGGCTTACCCGACAGCTTTGGCGTGAACGACACTGTTCAAGACCGAGTGTCAATATACTGTAGAAGCTTGGTAACCGAGGCGTCAATTGGGAAACAAACTAACCGCTCCGGGATTCTCTCGCGGGAGAAGTGAGCAAGGGTTTCGATGAGCTGAGTATCCTGAAGTAATCCGAGGCCACCGCCCTGTTTGCCCTGCATTAGAACAGCCGTCTTGCTGTTTGCGAATGGACAGCCTGCAGGAGTCAGTTAAGAACACAACTCTCAAGCGATAAGTGCTGTACCTTCGGCCAGAGTGTAGTATCTATCGTCTCCCATGCTGAATCTCAATTAAGGTAATACTATAGATAAAGAAGAAAAAGTGAATATGTATCAGAAAACCAAAACTTGTCCGAGAAATGCAGCTTATATATTCCCCATGCCGGAACCAGCTCAATGCTGTGTGCTTGCTTTCGGATGGCATTTGCATTTTGGGTCTTAGTATTACGCTTACACTCGTCGGAGGCCAGTGCTCTCTTACCAAGGGGGCCACCAAGCATAGATCATCATCATCAGCATTATCGTCACCGTCGTCATACATTTAATCCTTGGGAGGGCACGAGCTAACGCAAGAGTGCTCGTCGCGATCAGGTCATCAAAGTCAATTGGAGTTGTGTGAGAACAATGACAGCACCTCACACACAAGATAGCCCGAATCAAATAGTGATTGGCTATATCATGCCAGCGATAAAATAGCTTCTCGAATTAATGCCTCATATATTACCGAAATCACATTCCTATAATGAAGAAATGTGACGTTATATCTTTATCCCTTGTTCCCACTTTGCTACGTTCGGCAGATTCTATTGCTATTGCTATTTTATTGGCTACATAGTTATTCCTAAACCGGACAGGCAAAGATTTTGGTACTTCCCCACTATCGGGTGGGGTCCATTCGCGACCCAATCATATTTAGCAGATTCAAATGCATATCTGATGGTTGACATCTAGTTGACTCAGTACGCCGATAACATAGAAAACATTATTTGTACTATCTTCAATAGACCGAGATAAAGATACCAAATACGTGAATAAAAGCCTTCTTCTAAGAGTCTTCAGTCCCACTCATTCAGGATGCCAGTGAATATCGTCTCAGAGACGTCGAACTGCGGAGGAAATAGCTAATGCAGGTATTGATACAGCCATGGATTCCATGTATTTCAGGTTCGAATTTCTAAAGATTTATTCGACCATAAATCCAATCTCTAGTTGCGTGCTATCCAATGAACGCCTTAAAGCAGGTCAATAACATAGACGTTCACGGTAAATGGTAACCTACTCTGTAGACATCACTACATCATATACTCTCAGGCTTTAGGGTTTTTTTTCTTTCCAGTCTCTTCTAAGTATTCTTCACGAAAATTACCAATCAGAGTGCAGTTTATTCTTTCTTAGTATGAGAGCTTCATCTGCCCGGGGAAATGGTACGTCCGCAGATATAGTGACCCTTGAGTCATTGATATTCTAGACAGTCTGGTTAATTTCAGATCTGAACGCAGTGATTGACGTCTTCGATTTCTTGTCCAGAGCCATCACTTTATCTAGAGAGATATATAAATGTACAAGTTGAACATAGTTTCGTTTTTACCCGAATAAAATAAGACGGACCGCTTGATCCTACATTCCTCTCTACAAATAATCTCGAAATAAACCCACTTATTACCTACCATGTCTTCTAATACTGAGTCTTCTCCAAGGTCACAGAAATGGGTGTCTCGCCTGCGTGGAGAGATACCTGGAAGAACAGCCCCCATTTATCGTTCGACCCGTGGCCAGCTCCCTATGCTAAATGTGGCTCATAATGTCCGAAACACCTTTGTTGCCGTTGTCGGCGAATTTGTAGGGACATTTCTGTTTCTCTTCTTCGCATTTGCCGGTGGACAGCTCTCCAACACCCCAAAGCCGGCTGAAGGCGCACCACCAAACACCTCAAATTTGCTATACTTATCCCTGACATTCGGTTTCTCACTTATGATGAACGTGTGGACATTCTATCGTGTGACAGGTGGCTTATTCAACCCAGTAGTAGGTGGCCAATGCTTCATCATCTCTATACCGAACCTTGGGAAAGATACTAACAGCTGCACATTTTGAAGGTGACTTTGGCACTCTGTCTTTGTGGGGGTATGCATCCCGTGCGTGGTGTCCTGGTGTTTGCTTCCCAGATGATCGCAGGAATTGCATCAGCGGGTGTGGTTAGCTGTTTGTTTCCAGGGGCCCTGAATATCGGGACCCGCCTTGGTGGTGGTACTTCAATCTCACAAGGTCTATTTATCGAGATGTTTCTCACAGCCAACCTGGTATTTGTTGTGATTATGTTGGCAGTGGTCAAGCAAAAATCCACATTCCTTGCGCCAATTGGAATCGGCTTGGTTCTTTTCGTGAACCAACTTGTTGGTCAATATAAACGTCATACGCATGAATAAAGCAATATACTAACTAAGTATCCAGGTACCTACTATACCGGCTGTGCCCTTAATCCCGCTCGAGCGCTGGGCCCAGATGTTATCAATCGTAGCTTCCCTGGCTACCATTGGATCTACTGGGTCGGCCCTTTACTTGGATCTCTCCTTGCTTGTGGCTTCTTTGGGTTCCTTAGTATATTTCATTACGAGGCTGTCAACCCAGGTCAGGACTTTAATGAATGGGAGGCTGATATTCACGGCTATTACGGAGACAAAATGGGTCGAGCGTCCGAAGCCCATTCGGATACCAGCACCCTTCGTCGCTCGCATCGCCAGGCTGGGAACAGCCAGTGTACGAGTAATGAACATGAAGGCCAGGCTACTGCGTTAGACAACAGCGATAATGGCGAAGGTCAGGTGTGAATCTCGACCAAATCAACGATATATCCTATGGGGAGGAGTTACGCTATGGAGCCATGCGAATATTGCACCCGTATCTATATGTGATCAGATTTTCTGTATTCAAACTGCTTCATATTGTCATGACATGCTTTTACTTTGATCATCAAGGTATTTTTGGAGGCCTCGGAGGAAATTGTTAGTTCTGGTTGGGTTTATTTAGTCTTCGATGCTTGATATGATTTTCAACCCGGGTATAATAGGAGCAAATAATGCATGACACCGCTTAGCCATGATGACGAACACGAACCACTCTCCAGATCTAACTCATACCAACTACCTCGTGCCAGAAAAGGTAGACGCGACTTGAAATGCGATAAAGTGTCGAGACTTGAATCATACTAAACGATGTGGAAAATACGAATGTCGTATCTAGTCACTATGTGACCGTAAATCCCTTTGTCTCGTTTCTTCACTAGCTCGCTGCCCGTAGTGGGGAGTAGCCAGGAAAAGGTAAAGCATCGTGGGGCGATTATTTAGCGTCTCTACCTGGGTGGTGAATGTGGCAGAGGTTACAAAGCCTGAGGTCTAGAGGGAGTGACTAAATCTGGCTATTATCTTTTCAAAGACCAGTTCAAGGATACGTTAGACCTAAGCCCCAGAGAGCCGGCGAATTGTCTTCGGTACTGCATTTAGAGTAATGGCGTGGACCTGTAACTCAAAAAATCAAACGAGTCTTCATACTGGGACGTTGCGAAAGTCGATATGATTGGTCAGATGCTATTACCAAATTTGGCTTGATGGTGGGGCGGGAAGGGGCGTCTACCCTAGCCATAAATCCTCATCGAAATTGCCCAGATGTCAAGTGCATCATGATATCAGTCATACATACTGTACTATTATGAAAACAGTGACTATATCATTCTCACTTCTCTGGCAGAAAATGGATAGTAGAAACATTGCGCTTACAATTTTATATCACCAGGTATCATTCGATCCACCATAGTTTACCGGTTTTCGAAAGTTACCTTAATAGTTATGTATCTCTCATGCTATATATCTTGTATACCTTGATGCTACTGTGTAATACAGATGAAACTGTGGGGTTAATTCAATGACGCAGAAACCTAACATGCCATCCCAGTCCAGTAATAGTAGGTGGCCAATAAAACCGGCTTTATTTAATTCCGATCCATTCGCCCCGATTTGATGATGTATGGCACCTTTTGCCGATCGTCAAAAATACCGTAATTCCAATTTCTAGTACATACCGGACACCCCGCGTTCCCAAGTTCCTCTCCCGGTGTTTTAGGGCGGCATTTCGGTTGCGCTGGCCCTCTCTTAGACTCTTGAGGCTTATTTTCTAGTGAACTGATTCACCGCCCCTAGAAGCAAATTCTGTGATGCATCCAACGCAGAAACATGTAGCTAGCGCATTGACTCACTGCGATTGAGCCGTTTGTGAGCCCTCATCAAGTTTACACACGCTCGGCTGAGGACAACATTTTAACCCACAACTGATCTTGATTGCCTACCAGTACTGCGATAAGAGTAATAATATGTATGGAAGTCATTTATGACAGAATTATCGCGTACTAAAAACGTCACGATACGACTGTTATGTGAAGGGTGAATTTCGGCAATTAATCATCATTCCCATGCGGCTGATTGGCAGCTTGCTCTCACGCTCGGCGTTCTCTGCATTTTCCGTAGGCGAGCCACAGATCTATCATAAAATTTAATTCTCGTGGTATTGTTTTTGCGCGCGGTAGCAACAATTCAGCTATCATCTTCGGCCCTTAAAGATGTTTGCCTCTGCATCCATCCTGAGTGCTCAAGCCAAGCCCTCTTCGTCCTTCATCTTTACTGCTCTAGCTCACTTTCCTTGAAGCTGTGTTTCTGAAGTATGTTACTTTAACCCCCATCTACGTGTATGTGCCATGTAAGCTGATCTCAAACCCTTTGAACCTTCGGCGAAGCGAATGAACGTAGCCAGCAAGCATGTCGAGCCAGGCCCCACATGATTACACTTCTGGCCAGCCTTTTGCCCTTATCTATATTGATCAATATGGGAAAATTCACCATAAGGTGTCCCCTTCAATCGTCCACTACCGCGACACTATCCTCAACCCTCAAGTCACCACGGAATTCCTGAAAGCGGTGGCAAAGTCCACTCAAGTTGGGCTGCAAGAGCCTTCCCTAGATACCCAGCCATTTCCTGGTCACCTCGGGACCTATGAATCTAACGATTCGTGGCTGCCAATGAACATCAAGGTCGAGGGACATAGTGCGCCCATGGCGAATGGATGCTATTACAAGCCTACTGTGTGGCCAGGAAATGGAAAAGCTTGTTCAGCCATCTTGAAAGATGAACTGTTTCACGTGAAACCCCCTTGTATACAGAAGCACAGGCTGAAGCCTCAGGAAGCCATGATATCTATCAAAGATACAAATTTCCTTCGGCGATACTACGAAAAGGTTTTCCAGAATATACAGCAAACCAATTGCCGAATCCTGGCAAAAGCCTATGTGAAACTTATCGAGCCCCAGAAGCAAGTTAACCACCCTTACAATGGACGAAAACTCGCCGGGGGAGAATTGCACCAATTAAGTCCTGATGAAAGTAAGCCGCCCTGGTGGCCTCCTGGAGTACGCCATCGAGAGCCCGACCATCTACTCAAAGCAGGTAAGAGGGCACTTTCCTGCGCATGGTATGCACTAAACTCATCATTTCACTAGAACGCATCGCCCTTCTTCTCCATATACTTTGTGATTTGCGCTGCAGCCACGGAGTTACTTCACAAAAATTGAGGAATGCAGAGCAACCTGTCCGGTCGCAGATTATTCCGTTCGAACGATTAGAACTCCTAGATGAGTTGTATCGTGTTAGAGGAGAAGAGGAAAAGTTTTTGGAGGGATTTCTTGGTAGGGGCTTGAAACCCCCTATTCTTAACAATCTAACGAAGTATATCTAGAAAAAGACGCAAACGTTCTTGTTTCGCGGATCAATTTACCAATTTCCGATGATATTTTTAACACAAAGGGCCAAGCGAATAATCGGGTCTCTTTGAAGCACAAACAGGATACAGCAACACACAAATCATATTCTCGCAATCAAGTTGTGTGCAATATGCCTATGTACCCACAGCATAGCTTCGCAGGATACACCACTGGCCAACAATCTATGATAAGCTCGTTCCCAGCCCCTGAAACGTCGTCCGCTCCCCTTGAAAACGACTGCTCAGCGATTGAGAAAACATATCCTTCGACAGCCATTTTCAACCCCACGGAGTTACTATCCTCTGATTGTGCCAACAGCCCTTTTGACTTATGGACTTTCCAGTAATGGAGAACCATGTGGCACTTTGACTACAAAATGTACCCGATTGGTTCATTTTCAATGGCAGGATTTGCAAATCGCATCTAAATTTACAAAATTGGAAGGTAAATACCGAAATTTACTCTGCTTGACACTTGCTTGTTGTACAAAAAAGCATCAAGGGGGCTCTTTTCTCCTGCAATCGATTCTGGAGGGCAAGCGTGGTGAAAAAGGCGTGGGCTTTTCATTTGAAACACATCCCGGGATATCTTATTTCGTTAATGTCAGATAAACTTAGTCGACTAGAAAGAGGTCTGGGAGCATGGTCTCTTAGTATGAGAATATCACAACTTGCCTTTTTCACGTTTATCCCCAAGGCTACAAGCCATAAGAGCTAACGGAATACCTAATTTCAGATATCACTACATCAGATTGTGGAGATCCCCGGTTAAGAAAACTGCTACCCCATCCCCGTGATGGACCTCCTCATACATGCATTTGTAATTGAGCTGAATGTGGCGTAATTACCAACTGTGGCTACTAGAATTCTAAGCCTACTTCGATCACTGTACCTATAAGAGACGACACTACAGTCTATATATGTATAATGGTAGGCAATATGCCTCATTCGAACTGCTCGGGGCCTTTTTAAAAACAAAGGCAAAGATCCACGCAAGTGACTAGAAGAGCGAGTATTTTAAAACAATTCATAGTATTACGGGAAAGGTATCATCAAGGCCATCACTGGTGCTATCACTAGTCGTAAATCAAAATTTTGCGAGAACTTGTGTGAACGAATAACGGCGGGATGGCAACCAATCACCGAAGGTGAGACTGATAGCAGGCAACGACGACCTTCGCTTTGTCGGTATTATAGCGGCGCAACCGGTGGAAATTTGTAATTTCTTTCAAAGACGTACCAACTGCTTTGCGACCGCATCTCCGTTATCTTTAGTGGAACACATGTACCTGCCGGCACCGAGCCAACTTCATTGTAGGTCATGGCAAATGCATCCACAACTCGTCATCTATATTCATTAGCTAGGTAAGCTTTTCATGGACCTCTGCATATGTTATATCACTTTGATGTTTGGAATTTCGCCCATACCTCGAATTTTCTGGACCTCTCTATCCGTCGCCTCCATCAGTTGCTCCAATTGGCTTTGATAACCCTCAACCAACGAGACACTACTTTTTTCTCCCTCCTGTGGTTGGCAGCTTTCCCTAAATATATTCCGGCCCGTCAGGGGGGGGGGTTACCCGCAAAAAAAAGTCTTGGCAAGGGGGGGGGTTACGAGTTGATACGTAACCCCCCCCCTTAACTAGGTCACCCCTCTATATTTTTCGATCGGGCTTTTTAGAAGTTTGATTAGAATGATCTAAACTATCCTTCTATCAGATTTAATAGGATGATTTATAGTAGGAAGGGTAAAACCCTAAGGGGTCTGATTTTGGTAGGTGATTTTTTGATAGGGTATGCCAAGACCAGGACCGACGGGTAGTCTATACCCTTTTTGGCCAGCTCTCTAAGCCTAGGGTTTCTGCCTTAGCTATAAGGTATTCTAGGGCTTTAGGTAGAGAGTAGGGTTACTGTTTACTGGCTAACTACTAGAGCTAACTTAATCTAGTTTGGACTACTATATAGGTAAGCTTAGTGAGTAGAGGTCTAGGAGGCTCTGATTATATAAGCAAGGTCTAAAGAGGTAGAAAATAGGATAAAAGAAGTCTAGAAACTTTTTGTCCGCTGACTAATAATAATTTATATAGGGTGATACAGGGGATTTTGGTGATCAGATTAATATTTATATAAACTAGGTAAGTCTAGTTATTAGTAAGATATGAGTGAATAAATACTATAGTAGTAGAATATAGTATACTTATAATAATAAGTAAGTGATTAGGCTAAACAGCTATAACTAGGCAGGGATATAAGAAAATAGAGATCAGATTAGATAGTAATAAGAGAAGAATTCAGAGACAGATTATAGAGAGATATATATTTCCGATTAGAGTTATTATATATATATAGCAAGATTATCAGTTCTAGGGGTTGGGTATAGTGTTACGGACCCTGCGGCAGGAGGGGTCGGAAACACAAATGGGCCATCAAGAGCCAACTATTCTACAAACACCATGACCGCCCGCAGGTCACGTGCAGAACACCGCGAGGAATCATGGCATTCCCACCGGAGCCATACGATACGCAGTAATTAAGGAACGCAGTAGGAAGACCACAAAGATCATAACAAAGGATCAGCGTACAAGGGAAAGGAGGTAGGTCGTAAGGCAGGGCACTTCGTACGAGCCCGGATAACCCACGACGGGACGGTCCGTACGACGGACCATGACCTACGATACGATACGCCCTAAGAACAAGACTATCGCAGGACGAACCATGGTTTTCTAGACAACCAGGCAAGGAACTATAGGGGTTCTTACGATAAGGCCTGACACAGGAACAGAAGGGTCGCACGACTACTACGTAACATCCTAACGGTATAATAGGATCCCATCCTACCAGTAGGATAGGAATCCCAACGACCGGATAGGACGAACTAGATATATAAGGGACGCTTATTACACACATATATTTAGTTCTGGGTGATCAATTAATCTAAGTTACTATAGTATACCTTCAGACTATTCTTTATTCAGTTTCATCTCTTGTGATAAATATACTACAAATAGGGGAGCTCTTCAGACTGACCTATTTAGCGTACTACCTGGCGTATCCTTCGAAGTTACTCTACAGGATCTAAGTCCGTATAAGGCTTAGTACAGCAACGGTACGATTATAAGTCAATACTTAAGGATTATAAGTGGTAGATATCATACCCAATCAAGATACATTGAACAACTGGTAAGTTGTTGTACGATAATCTAACTACTTACTGTGACCAGTTAGCAACGTATAATATATTAATTACCCTGTCGACACAAAACTGTAAAGTTTAGTTACTATATCATCGTACGGCAGTAACAGTAAAGGCAAAGCCGCAGAGCCTGTACCTCCGAAAACGTAAATATAATAACTAGATCTAGAATCAGATAACAAAGACGAAAAAAGAGTTAAGGAATTAGAAAGACAAGTCTACCTCCTTATCAGTCAACTCAATATGTTTAGTCAGGGACACAACCGTAATATAAACGAGCTGTGTAAATCTATTCAGCAGACTGACATACAGCTTAGCGTACTATTGCCTATAGTACCAAAGTTGCCTAAGGCAGAGAACTTTAATAGAACTTGCTCTAAATTGCGAGGATTCCTTATACAAATAAATATGTACCTTGATGTTAATAAATATAGGCTGAACACTGAAGTAAGTAAAGTTATCTTTGTATCAACCTATCTCTGAGGACAGGTATAGGATTGGCTCGAGCCATATGTCTAAGAATACTATAAAAGAGACAAATCAGAATGGTCGACCACCGTATGCAACATCTTTTTCAGCTACCTTAAGTTCAGGGAGCACTTAGAGAAGATATTCAGCGATATTAACGCTAAGAAAACTGCTAAACATAAGCTCAAACGGCTTCGACAAGCAACCTTAGCTTCTGTATATACTGCAGAGTTTATACAGCAAGCAGCTATCCTTGGATAGGACGACTATACATTAATCCTATACTACGACAAAGGGCTTAAGTCACACATCAAGGATAAGCTAGTATGAATAGATAGACCCAAAACGATAGACACACTCATTAATTTCGCAGTTTGAATCAACAACTGGTTTTACGACCGACAGATATAGAAACAGAAGGTAGAAGGATAGAGACAAGGCAACGGACGCTTACCTTACCAATACTTCCAACCTCAGCGACAACAGCAACAACCTAATCAGAACAGCAACCCGTACGGTCTATAACCTATAGAGCTTGATACAGCAAGACTTCTGGATAAGGAACAGAAATATCAGAAGGACAACAGACTCTGTTTTAATTATGGCAAACCGGGCTATATATTAAGAGACTATCACAGCAAGAAAAACAACAGAAAACCACAGCAACTATATACGACTCAGGAAGGAGGAGCGTACGATACCACTGGGGTAGAAAAGACACAGCAACTCTGTGCTACCTAGGAAGGTAGGCAACCTAAGACAACTCTCTTAGAAAGGGCTGCTTAAAAGGAAGCACCTAAGAACAGTGCAACAGGAAACGCCCCGACTCAGAAGAAAAAGCAGATCAGGAAAAGTATAATCCAGCAGCCTAGCCAGAACTAGATAACAAGCTGGCCAACGACAAATAAACAAACCGAGTAGGCAGCAGGATAGCTACCACTGCACACCAATAAACAAAAGGTAGAGCCAGAACCTAAAACACAGGAGCTCAAAGCAACAAAAGAAGCCAACCAGATTACAGTCAACTTACAGCTCAAAGAGTACAACAGACAGGAACAGTATCCGCAGATTAACCTAGA